GGCCTGGATTTACACTACAATGAAGAATCTGGAACTCTGGATTTACACAATGAAGGGTCTGGAATTCTGGACTCACACTACTATTAAGAGTCTGGAACTCTGGATTTATACTACAATGATGGATCTGGAACTCTGGATTTACACTGCCATGAAGGGTCTGGAAGTCTGTATTTACACAATGAAGGGTCTGGAACTCTGGATTCACACTACAATGAAGGGTCTGGAACTCTGGATTCACACTGCCATGAAGGGTCTGGAACTCTGGATTCACACTGCCATGAAGGGTCTTGGAAGAGCAGCTCAGGGCACTTGGTTTATTGGAGAAGAAGGAGGGGAAACTCATCCCAGTCTGGAGCTCCTGAGGGACAGCTCCCATCTCTGCCCTCTGGGAGCAGAGGAGCAACAGCTGGAGCTGAACCAGGGCAGATTTAGGATGGATTTTGGGAAAGGCTCTTCCCCCAGAGGGTGCTGGCAGTGCCCAGGCTCCCCAGGGAATGGGCACACTCCCAACAGCTCCAGGAGGGTTTGGACAGTACTCAGGGGTGCCCAGGGTGGAATTTTGGGGTATCTGTGCAGGATCAGGAGCTGGATCCGTGATCCTGTGGGTCCCTTCCAGCTCAGGAGATTCTGTGGTTCCATGATTCCCAGCCCACACTTTACCTGGTGTGTCCTGCACTCCCTAATGCAGCCACACTCTGGGTTTGGGGAGCCCTGATGGCACCACCCCACAAAATCCCTGCCAGCACCACCCCACAGCAGCTGTGTGTGTGTCCTGCAGCCCACGCCTTAATTACAAAGCCCTAATTACAGACACAACTCTGCCCCATCACCATCTCCTCCTAAANAGGGACATATACAGGGACACACAGGGAGAGGGAGACACACAGGGATATATACAGGGACAGGGACACACAGGGAGAGGGACAGGCAGGGACAGGGACATTTACATGGACAAAAACACACATGGAGAGGAACAAGGGAGAGGGACATGCATGGAGAGGGACAGGGACACAGGGAGAGGGAGACACACAGGGCCATATACATGGACAGGGACACAGGGAGAAGGGCATGCACGGAGAGCGACAGGGACACATGTGGAGAGGGGCACTCATGGAGAAGGACAGGTATGGAGAGGGACATGGAGGGACAAATACAGGGACACAGGGAGAAGGGCATGCACGCAGAGGGACAGGGACACACGTGGAGAGAGGGACACACACAGGGACATATACAGGGACACACAGGGAGAGGGACACACACAGGGACATATACAGGGACAGGGACACACAGGGAGAGGGACAGGCAGGGACAGGGACTTTTACATGGACAAAAACACACATGGAGAGGAACACGGGAGAAGGGCGTGCATGGAGAGGGACAGGGACACACAGGGAGAGAGGGACACACACAGGGACATATACAGGGACACACAGGGACAGGGAGACACACAGGGATATATACAGGGACACACAGGGACAGGGAGACACACAGGGATATATACAGGGACAGGGACACACAGGGAGAGGGACAGGCAGGGACAGGGACTTTTACATGGACAAAAACACACATGGAGAGGAACAAGGGAGAGGGACATGCATGGAGAGGGACAGGGACACAGGGAGAGGGACACACACAGGGCCATATACATGGACAGGGACACAGGGAGAAGGGCATGCACGGAGAGCGACAGGGACACGTGGAGTGGGGCACACATGGAGGACAGGTATGGAGAGGGACATGCATGGAGACATACACATGGAGAGGGACATGGAGGGACAAATACAGGGACACAGGGAGAAGGGCATGCACGTAGAGGGACAGGGACACACGTGGAGAGGGACATGCATGGAGAGAGATACACATGGAGAGGGACACACAGGGATATA